TATTGACTGATGAACCTTTGTTTATGTTAATAGAGTTACCTGGAGGGCTGGGGGGCTCAGTGGATGGGTACTGGGCTATGGGGCCTTTCGCCTCCAGGGCACTGGTTTGAATTTAGGTAGGTAGGTTCCCATCTGACATCTGTTTGGTGGCTTGGGTGGGATGAATTCAGTGGTCTCGGCCCACTTCCCAGTGGATATGTATCTACGTCATGAAACCAATACCCTCTTGATGGCAGTCTCAAAAGAGAGGTTGAGGCTTGAAGAGGGCAAGGACCATGAACTCCCACCCTTCCATAAAGGTGATCTTCCCAGGTCAGAGATGAGGGACAGCACTGTTTTTGTCAGCTGTTCCATATCAAGTGGCAGGACAAGGTCAGCAATGACGATATTCATAGCTGAACCCAGAAACTGCCTCCCATCAGCCCAGGTTCGGGTTCAGTGGTTTTCTTAGTACAGACGTATCATCAGGAGGGAAAATCAATGAATTATGAAGTGTGTGTATCAAGGAATGCTGCTACACAGCTGGCAAGCCCGTGGGTACCAAGCACTTCAGTGGTGCAACAGGACTGCCGATGATGGACACAGACTGAATATCCAGCCAGACCGCCTTAAGGACCTAGCTAGAGATCAGTCTGGGTGGTGCCCAATCTGCAAGGAAGCAACATTACTTTGGGATTTGCCTTGATGATGATGATAGTGATGGGCCTGGCTCATGCTGTGCATGCTGGGGATTAACAGAAGATGTCCCACTCCAGGGCTGTCAATCTAGCATCTTTCACCAGCACTAACCTCACATGAACATTTAAATAGTTAACTGGGGGGGAGAGGGAAGGTGGTCAGCCTCTTCTTGCTCAAGGAGCAGAAGACTTTAGACAGACCACTTGACCTGAGCGCCCCCATGTGGTCACTTATTACTAGCGGTTGGCCTCTCAATTGCCTTGGCTTGCCATCTTCACAGTTGGAGCTGCGCAGTGCGAGAGCTGGGCTCTATGCTGCTAGCTGAAGGTTTATTCCTTGCCCAGCAATGTTCCTTCTGGAGCAACGGGGAGTGGTGAGACTCGCTGTCCCGATGCAGCTCAGCTATCCTCATTAGAGGCAGCTGTTCTCGAGTCCGTGTAAAGGAAGTGGTGGCTCTTCTGCCAGTGAAATCCTAACTGCGCAGGGAAGGACAGACTGGTGTCTAACAAGACACTTGTGGCCAAGATTCTGGACTCAGTAGTGGTAACAGAGCTGGAGGAACATCTAGACAGTCATGTTCAGTAATGAAATAGCTGCCCAGATTCAGTCGAGGACACAGCACCAAGAATCCCCTTGCTAGTGTCAGGGATGATTTACTCACCGCTTTGCAAACACAGAGCTGTCCTTGCTGGTGTTATTAGATCTATGGGCAGATGTGGATATTGTGGATAGTTGATGCTACTGCCTCACCTAGATAATTAGTGGAACAACACTGGGAATGCACAGGACTGGTACCAGTTGTGTCTTAGGGAGCTGTCCCAATTGGTATGGTATCTCTGGGTGGATACTCACCAGGCTGTACTGGGATAATGTGCTCTGTTCTCCACGTCTGTGGGTTGTCTCCAATGCTCTTCAGATGCAGCTTCTTGGAAGGATACATATTGTCTATGATCTGGGATTTCACTGCTATGCTGATAATACCCAGCTCTCTCTCTAGATAAATACTGATATTTGCCTCTCCAGACTCCGTGAGGAACATGCTATGAAATCCATGACTAGATAACGTGGAGGTGGCTGAGACTATATCCTGGCACAGCTGAAATAATGCAGACCGAGTCAGGCTGGAGATATGAGGAGAGCATATCTCCCTGGGCTGCTCAGCCTTCAATGGGTTGAATGTTGTTCACACACTGATTTTCAGAAATGAAAGCTCCAAAGACAGACTGTTGCTGCAGTATTCATGGCTTGGCCAAGAGCGGGCAATAATGGAAATCACACAAGGGAGTCTGCACACTGGGAATTTCTGGAGAAGAGGCTGAGAGACATCTGCACAAGCTTAAAAAATGTTAGGTGTCTATCTGAACCCAACCCGTGGGGCGCACTCTCCACTGTCCGAATCAGTATCACACACATTGCTAGATAGGAGTCTGGAACTTCCCTGGATCTCCCAGTGGCCATGAGAACCACGGAATTCTATTCTGCTCTGTTGCGGCTTTCTTGTACCTACATCCACTCAGTGCTGTCACAAAGCTAAAGGCTTTTGTGTTTCACCTCTTATGTGGACAATGGCCAGATTTCCATCCCAGTGATCTGGGTGGTGGACCTGGCTTCCCTTTTCATGCCATTTTGCTCATGCGGTAAGGGGCCAAATTCCCCATGGGTATAATCCATTGATCCCAATGGAGCTGCGCCTGATTATCCTAGCAATGGATGTGGCTCCATTTCCCTAACTGGATACATCAACATTTTTTATGGACAAAGCTGAGATGTTGTTCCTGTTTCTGACATTTGGCTCCCTATCCCCACGTGTCCTGAAGATGGTCCTGGCCATGTTATAGCGATTCCCCAACTTATGCATAGTTTCTCACAGTAAATCAATTCCCTGATCCCTGTAGGCTTCATCTGATTCCAGGATCTTCACAGTCCAGAATTCTCTAGGTGGCAATGGAGGCATTGGGCACTTTCTGGCTTGAGCACCATGAGCTTGACACTCCAGACAGGGTATTGTTGGTGAGTTTTCCTCCCCTACAGAACCATCATTTCCACATTATGCCCTCTGTGTGAGGGACTCCGTGTGCTGAGAGATGAGTTCACGAGTCTCTTATTTCTGTTTAAGGCACTTCCTGACTTCCACGTTATACTCCCAAGACGTGGTAGGCATTAAAGTCTCTTCTTACGAATGGACAGTTGCCCTCTCTCCTTGCCTGGGGCTACGTTGCTTTGGTGGCACCATTTCCAATGGTCTGGTAGAATTCCCTTTTCTTTGCCTCAAGCTAGCGCAGGGCAGAGGGGCTCTGAGTCGCCATGTTGCTGGAGCACAATATTTGGGGTGCTTGCAGTGAACTCTGCAGAGAGCTTTTGGGATTCCCCAATTGGCTCTGCTGGCTGTGGTGTTGTGCAACACCTTGATCCCTGTGGAAGGTGCGATATGGATCCCCAAACGCCAGAAATGCCTTGCAGAGCCACCAAAAAGACACAGGTGTTGGAAAAAGGCCCAGCAGATCAAACGATCGTTGCTTGTATTAGCAGCTGGCTGATGAACAGGGAGCAGAGAGTAACTGTTAAAGGGGAGACCTCTGAGCGGGGAGCAGTATCAAGGGAGGGAACCTCAAGAGTCAGTGCTAGGACTCCCATCACTTAATATTCTCGTTGACAGGCTAGGGGAAGGTGAAATTCACCAGCATTGCCTCTGATGCCCAAATCAGCCATAGCAAATGCAGGGGAAGGGGAAGCCAGCAGCAAAGGGAGCTCGGGAGATCAGCACTGAGGGTGCCTGAGGTTCAGTACAGCCATGTGAGGCCATCCGCCTTGGCAGAGGAAGAAGTGGCACAGAGACAAATGTGGGAAGGGACCAACTATCCACAGAGCAACGAGGCTGGGAAAGACCCAGGGAGGAACAGCAGCTGAGTGTGAGCTTGCAGAGCGGCCCCATTGTGAGAGGAGTCAGTGCTGGTCTAGGATTGGGTGGATCGGGATCGTGTGACATTAAAGATAGGGAGGAAATAACGCCATCACTTGTTTGTCTCAGCTCTTCCTGCTAACACAATCCAGCCGGGTCAAAGCCCTGAGGGGCACAATTGCCTCTGCAAGTCTAATTTGAGCAGGCTATTACTACACCGGTGTGGGGTCAGAGTCAGGCAGCTGTATGTGTATGAGGCGGGGAGGGAGAGTTGATGTACAACCAGCCGTTGTACAGTCCTGGTTAACTGCGCATACAGACTAGGCATGCAACTGCATATGCATTTTTTATGTAAGCAATGGAATGCCTGGAATATCACGTCCTTTGGGACTGAGTCCCACTGCTGGTGTGTGTCCGGCTACTATCTTTTATAGCTCCTCGTCTGTATCACAACAGCCAAGCCATTAGCCTCCCCTACCCCTACCGTCCTTGCAGCTCTTCTTACACCTTCCCGGACAGTTCCAGCCCCTTCAACGACCTTGCGGCTGTGTACTGACGGGTAACTGAATGTGCTTGGCAAGAGCTAACTCGGGAGCAGTCAGGGGGACAAAGCCCCTCTCTGTGAAGCATTAGCATCCCAGTGTGGCCCAGCAGGGGTTAACAATGTGCCCCAGGCTCCTGCGAGCCCTCTTTGCTTTGGTTGTGTCTCTCCTCTGCTCTGTGAGTCCTTAGTGAAAACACTGGCCAGTGCTGGAGCCAGAATAGACCCCTGCAGGACCCCACTTGACACAGCCTCCCAATGTTGACAATGCCCATTATCTATACCTGTTAGTCTTTAAGGTGCCACCAGACTCCTTGTTGTTTTTGTGGATACAGACTAACACGGCTACCCCCTGATATTTGATTATCTATACCTGTGATGTGTGTGGATCAGCTGCCCTTATGGTCTCTGCCAGTGGTATGTGCCGGTGGCCTAAGCCCTTAGTGCATGTCCACGGCCTACGTGCATGTGTGTCACCTATACATATGGCCTAGGGCAATGCTGTGAGCCCGTGGCCTAGGGCAATGGTGTGAACCTGTGGCCTAGGGCAATGGTGTGAGCCTGTGGCCTAGGGCAATGGTGTGAACCCGTGGCCTAGGGCAATGGTGGGAGGCCGTGGCCTAAGGCAATGCTGTGTGCTGGAACAGGCATTTTAAATGGAAGCGTTTCAAGGTTTAAAGCTCTCTCCCTGTCCCAGAGGTGGGAATACAAAATATCTGTAGTGTGCCCCTCTGAGCGCTGCGCTGGGATGCTAGTGAAGGTCCAGCCTTGGCCTCCCGTAGCCCCTCCCCTCTGTGCTGACAGAACCCACTTTCCCGCCGCCCCTGTGACCTGCAGGCCCAGGAGAGCTGTGGCCCTGGGGCTGTCTGGCGGGGGACTCACCTTGCCAATGACGTCGTTCCGGCTCAGCCTGTCCTTGTCCATGACGGTGATGATGATGGTCGTCTCTCGCAGCTTCTCGGTGGGGATGTCAAAGATGAAGGACTCGTTGAAGACTGGGTTCAGGCACCGCTTCATTACCACCGTCTTCTTCTTCTCCACCCTCTTGTCCTTGTACATCAGCCACACCTTGACGTAAGGGTCTGCCACGGAGAGGAGAGGGCACATTGCTCTTAGGCCAGGCCAGGGCTCCTCCCCCTTCTGCTTCTTAACTTGGCCTGTCCTCAGGTTTCCTGCCTCTCATGCCAGGGCCCTCTCTTTCAGCTGGTAGCCTGCAGCCTCCTGCTCAGTGCTCCCCTTTTTGCTGCAGGATGTACTGGGGAGCTGAGACAGGTCAGGGGGACTCTTGAGTTCCTCCCAGTGTGGGACAGAAGAGACTCAGAGCTGACCGTTTCCTGTGGAAGACAAAGGAGGACTCTCTCCCTGGTGTGGGACAGAGGTACTCCGGACAAGTTCCTCCTTGAGGAGAGGCAGAGGGGACCTAAGGTGAGGAAGAATAGATTGCAGTTACCCTGCATCTTAGTACGCTGGGGTGAATGGCCCCTGCCAGGACCCCTAGCTCAGTACAGAAGAAGGGCCCCGATTGCCAGTACCTGACGTCCCCCCGATGTCCATGGCTTTCAGATTCCGTGCTTTGATGATATTCACAACGATGGAGTTACCAGAAGGGTTGTAGCAAAGGGACAGGAGGAGTTCTCCCCGACTTCCCTGCAGAGAGGAGAGGTTGTTATAGACTGGCAGAACTCCCCAGACACCAGCTAGCCTAGCTCAACCAGAGCACCTCGGCGGCCCCGTGCCCACAGAAACCACCTTCAAACGTATTTATGGCTGTAACATGCTTTGCTTCTCCCCCACATCCGAAGAAGCTGGCTGTCTAGGGGTGGGACAGAATCTGTAGCATGGCTTCAGCTAGCTCCATTATTGGAAACAAATTCACATCCACATGGATCAGTGAAAGTATCCCACAGCTGGTGCCAGCCCACGTGTTTGCAGTTGGCTCTAAACTATGGCCGAGAACTGTTTTCTGCTAGCAGAATGTCTCCTACAGGATGCAGAAGGACTTAAACCCCTTCTCAGCTGACAGCGGGTAAGACCCCTAGGCCTTCAGATTCTGGACAAAGAGCAGATGTAGTCCACAGGTCTGTCAATACTTCCCCTTTTACCGGTACCAGATTAATGGGGTACCGGTAAAAGGGTGGGGGTTCGGGGATGTCTTCTCTGGGACCCTTGCTGCAGCAGCTCCAGGATGTCCCCTGGGAGCACTAGGCTATTCTAGTCACTGAGGCCAGCTAATAGCCACGTACACTAAGCCAGGGCATTACACGCTGGCTAAGCCTCTCTCCGAACACAAAGCAAAGGTCTTACGCTCCCATCACTGCAGGGTTTCAGCTCCTTCCAGAATGTCTGCATCTGGGTCAGGTCCAACTTGTTGAGTGGAATGGACACCTCTCCGATGGGGTCATTGCGACTGAAGCGGTCATAGTCCAGAACCTGGAGATACAGCACCCGCTGCACCACCTTCTCGTATGGGAAACCTGCCAAGGAGACCAGAGCAGGAGGTGGTTACCCAGGAACGTGGCAACACGGCCAAGTCTGACAGAGCCATTCCAGATCCATACACATACATAAACCCAGGTGGCATTCATGCAAAAGAGACCTCACTGGCATGCGTCTCTCTAGCCAGTTCTGGCAGGTGTATGATGCTGGGATCAAACAGTCAGTGGAGAAGGGGCACTGGGTGGAGGGAGACACACTTTTCAGTAATTTTATGGCCTCTACTAATATCTGTGGTTACGATTAATCAACCCTCATGCTTCATGACACCAGCTGGCCACTGCCAGGGTCAGGAAGGAATCCCACCCTTCACGAACATCATTCCACAATTGGCTGGGTGCATCGCCCAGAGGTGGAGGTGTTTGTATCTTTCTGTGAATGATCAGGTATTGACTGTTCACCAGAGGCTGGACCCAGATCGATGGTGTGATCTGATACGTCAGGAGGTCAGAACCCAAGGGTGTGATCTGATAGGGCAGGAGGCAGGACGGTCTGATATGGTTTAGCAGAAGCGGAGATAGTGGATCAGGTAGACCAGAGATGTGGCACACAAGGTGGGACACAGGGCTAGTGTGACCAGCGGTTCAGTACGGGGAGGCAGGAGAGGGGATCACGGAGCTGATTGTCCATTGGGGTGGCTGTGGGGGGGTAGGTCACAGAATCCCACGCTGGAAGGACCAGGAGGCAGGTCCAGATTGGCCAGACAGGCCAGTGGCTCAAGGTGGGGAGGTAGGAAAGGGTGTACTGGTGCTGACTGACCACGGTGTGATCCAGCATGGTGGGGAGAACCAGTACCGGATTTACCATGGCGCCACGGTGCCAGGCCCACGGTCCAAAGGGGCCCCGGCCCTGCCAGCTCTTCTCCGCCTCCTCCTCCCCCCCCCCATGGGGGCAGAAGCTTAGTGCTGCCGGCTCCTGCTGCAGCAGGGCAGGCTCTGCCGGCAGCCAAGCTCCTCCCCCGCCTCTTTCCCCAGCGTGCTACGTTCCCTCCCCCCCTCCCTGCTGCTGATCAGCTGGATCAGCTGTTTGCCAGCAGGAGGAGGGAGGAGGAGGAGCGAAGCCTCAGCACGCTCGCTGCTCTGGGGAGGAGGAGGAGAAAAGACGGGGGTGGGACCTTGGGGAAGGGGCTGGAATCAGGGCATACGCCCTCCAGCCCCCTGCCGTGAGCACCCCCACGACCCCAGCCCACACCCACAGTCCTCTGCCCACCCTGACCCCTGCAGCCCCCTACACACCCCCAGCCCCCTGCCCTGACCCCTGCACCCCCTTCCCCCCCCCCCCGCCCCCCGCCCCTGCCCCCTGCCCCCCCCCACACATACAGCCCCCTGCCCACCATGACCCCTGCACCCCCTCACACACACCCAGGCCCCTGCCCTGACTCCTGCACCCCCACACACACCCAGCCCCCTGCCCTGACTCCTGCACCCCCCACACACACACACCTAGCCCCCTGCCCTGACTTCTGCACCCCCCCCCACCCCTTGCTTCCCACCGCTTAAGGCTTAGCCCTCTCACTTTTAAAAATGATTGCTTGCCCCTCCTCCTCCCCTCAGGCTTTTCTGGCACCCCTGTTGCCAGGTATCCAGTTTTAGACTGGAAACTCCAGTAGAAAATGGGACTTGGGTGTCCGGTTAGCAGTGCTGACTGGAAACTAAAATAGAAGTAACCACATTACCCTCCGCTCCTCCCACTCCCAACACCCACCCCAGAGGGCTGGAAGAGAACCTGTCCTGCTGCTGCTGGATGTCACAGAGTGTGGGGGAGTCAGGGTCCTGCACCCCCCACTTCCTGCGATTCACCGTGACTCTCAGCCAGCCAGTAAAACAGAAGGTTTATTAGACGACAGGAACACAGTCAAAGCAGAGCTTGTAGGTATGGAAAACAGGACCCCTCAGTCAGATCCGTCTTGTGGGGTAGGGAGCCCAGACACCAGTGCTGGGCCTCCCTCCATTTCCCCAGCCAGCTCCAAACTGCAACCCCCTCCAGCCCCTCCTCTGTCCTTTGTCTCTTTCCCCGGGCCAGGAGGCCACCTGATCTCTTTGTTCTCCCACACCTTCAGTTGGCACCTTGCTGGGGAGGGGCCCAGGCCATCAGTTGCCAGGAGACAGTGTGTCAGCCATTCTCTGTGCAGACAGCATCACACCTGCCCTCTAGGGCTCTGCAACAATCACACACCCTTATCCCACCACCTAGATACTTAAGAAATGCATAGGGGAAACTGAGACACCCACACAGTATTCAGAGAAAACATTAAGAACATTCACACTTTGTCACACTGGAGGAGGGGCAGCTCAGTGCAGAGAGAGACAAAGAGAATGAGCTAGAACCAGGGAGAAGGTAGGTACCCGCTCTATGTGGGCAGGGGCGGGGGTGGGGATCCTGTTTACCCCCTCCCCAGCCCTGCTGCGCTTGCAGTTTACCCCTGGCCCCTCCCTTGCTCCAGGAACCAACCCTAGCTCCCGCCCCACTGTGCTTTTGCCCTGGCCCCTTTTACAATCATTCCCCAGGGGGCCCACAAATATGTTTGGAGCCGGGCCCACAAAAAGTTAATCCGGCCCTAGGGAGAACAGTCGTGTGGCGAGATCAGCCTAGCAGGAGCAGACCCACTGGTCTAGATGGCTCACTTTGGGCTTCAGTCTGGCAAACCCTGCTTCCTACAGGGACTCGGACTCACTTTCTGTCTCTCTAGGTGTTCATATGGCCAAGGCCGTCCCTAACTATTCTGGGGCCCTATGCAGCCCCCCTGTGTGGTGGGTGTCTGGGTCTCAGGCCTCCATGGGGGAAGGGGGGCTGGCTCCAGGCCTCCGCATGGGGGGGGGCTGGCTTGGGGGACAGTGGGGAACCACCCCCCAGCACTCACCGGCGGCACAGCTGAGGCTGGGCCGCTGCACTTCCCGACGCCGGTGAGTGCAGGGCCAGCCCTGCCCGCACTCCTCAGGGGAGTGGGGGCGGGGCTGGGGCAAAGCAGGGGCGGGAAGAGGCGGGGAAGAGGCGGGGCAGAGCAGGGACGGGGGCCATGGGGAAGAGATGGAGCAGGGGCTGGAGCAGCAGGCAGCTGCGCAGGACACCCAGAAATTTGGTGCCCTAAATTTCCGGGTGCCCTACACAGCTGCGTACTTTGCGTATGGGTAAGGACGGCCCTGCATATGGCCCTTGTCACCACAGTATCTGAGCGCTGGGAGGAACGAAGTGCTAACCCCATGCTAAAGCCAGGGCCCAGAGGCAGTGGAGAGGCAGTGACTTCCCAGGGTTAGCCGGGGGTCAGTGGCTGAGCTGGGACTCGCTCCTGGCCCACGCCCTGTCTGCTGGCCTCTGCCGCCTACCTTCGAAGAGGAAGGTCTCGTTCCAGTGCGGGTTCAAGTTCTTCCTCTTCACTTTGGTCTCCAGCTTGTTCTTTTTATCAGGCAGCAGGTAGATCTTGACGAAAGGGTCACTGGTGCCGCTGAAGTCCTTGGCTGGCAGCTCCTGAGCCTTCATGATCTTGACAGTCAGAGTGGATTCCTGGAAGTTGTAGCCGACGCTGAATTGGATTCGGCCGAGGTTCTCCCTGCTGGAGCTGTCGTGTCCCTCGTCATCCTCAGAGCCTGGGGAGAGCTGAGGGGGGACAGAGAATGGAGAGTCAGCCTGGAGAGCTCAGCATGGGGTAAGCACCATCGCCAGGGAGAGACCCAGAGATCTGTCTATCTACCTATCACATCACCTGGGTATCTATATTTTATGTTCAGTCTTTGAGCACCTCCTCCTATAGCTGCCCTTCTCCCCGGCCCCTCTCTCCCCCTCCCTCCCCAAGATAGGACCAGAGGAGGAGACTGGGCTGATTTCTCCCCATTGGGCAGCTCGGGACTCTGCAGACCCAAGAGGCATCTCTAGTCAGGGCAGAGTGTAAATCTGCAGTGAGGAAGGGGGGTTGGAGGCTCCCGGGGAGGGGAGATCACAGCAGTGCGATGGGTGGATAAGGTAGGGTTACCATATTTCAGCAAGCAAAAAAGAGGACGGGAGGAGCCCCGCCCCCGTCCTGCCCTAGCCCCGCCCCTGCCCCTCCCACTTCCCGCCCCCCTCAGAACCCCCAACCCTCCCCCCCGCTCCTTGTCCCCTGACTGCCCCCTCCTGGGACCCCTGCCCCTAACTGCCCCCCAGGACTCCACCCCCTACCTAAGCCTCCCTGCCTCTTGTCCCCTGACTGCCCACTCCTGAGACCCTCCCCCCATCCTAACTGGCCCCCTAGGATCCTACCCCCTACCTGTACCCTGACTGCTCCAACCCTTATCCACACCCCCACCCCCAGACAGACCCCTGGGACTCCCACGCCCCATCCAACCACTCCCCACCCCCTGACAGCCCCCCCCAGAACTCCCGACCCATC